CACACCAAAACACACAAAAAACACCAAAACACCAAAAACACCAAAACACACCAAAAACACACCAAAAAACACCAAAACACACCAAAAAACACCAAAACACACCAAACACCAAAACAAAAACACCAAAACACACCAAAAAACCAAAACACACCAAAAACACAAAACCAAAAAACACCAAAAAACACCAAAACACACCAAAAAACACCAAACACCAAAAAACACCAAACACACCAAAAAACACCACAAAAAAAACCAAAACACCAAACACACCAAAAAACACCAAAACACACCAAAAAACACCAAAACACAAAAAAACACCAAAACACACCAAAACACACCAAAAAACACCAAAACACACCAAAAAAACACCAAAACACACCAAAAAACACCAAAAAAACACCAAAAAACACCAAAACACACCAAAACACACCAAAAAACACCAAAAAACACCAAAACACACCAAAAAACACCAAAACACACCAAAACACACCAAAAAACACCAAAAAACACCAAAACACACAAAAAACACCAAAAAACACCAAAAAACACCAAAACACACCAAAAAACACCAAAACACACCAAAAAAACACAAAAAAAACAAAGAAGAACATTCAGTCTGTTACAGTTTCATGTTTTCAGGCTGATCACTGAGGTGGATTAGCTAGCTGCTATTAGCTAATCTAAAACAGCGGTGATAGATTATTTCGCTGCTCTTCACTAAAATAACACAGATTAGCTCATTTAAACACCAGATTTGATTTAAACAAAAATATTTGATTTAGCTATTTTAAATAAATCGAATCACTAAATTCCACATCACATCCACATGTTACAGTTTTCAAAGTCAAGTTAGCATAGCTGACATAAGACTTTAGTCTCTTTCTTCCTAAATGTTTACAGTTAAACAAGTTTAATAAATTCAGTAAAATCTGATTTGGGCTTTTCAGTAAATCAACGTGGATCAATTTATAAAGGTTCAAATTAAGATTTTTAATTGTAGAATCACAAATACTTTGATTTGTCCTGAACATTTTCATTAAATCAAAAGACATCATGAACTGAAGGTCAAGAATGAAAATTTGCTGGAAAAAAATATTTTGAGATCAAATTTTCCAGAAAAATTTATCAGAATTTTAAATTCATTTGAAATTCTGAAAATTAATAAGTTCAACATTTTTGACTTCAAACTCGAATTAAATTTTTCTAGAAAAAAATCAAATAAATTTCTGAGATTTTTAGTTTTTTTTTACTTTTCAAATTGAACATTTCTAATTTTTCTCTAAAGTTGCTGCAGCAGCAGCAGCAGTGCTGCAGCAGTGCTGCAGCAGCTGATGTCCAGATGTAAAAGTTTAGATTGGAGAAAATTCTGTTTGTGTCTCCAGGTTTTATGACCTCATGAAACCTGAGATCCGTTTCCCTCTGGGATCAGATCCGAACTTCAAAGCAGAACAATCCTCTGTGTTTGGAGTGAAAATGTTTCTTTGTGCAAAATGGACCCAGGCGGCGGTCCGGCCCGGTTCGGCCCGGCTCGGTCCGCCCAGGCGGCGCTGGCCCGGCCCGGTTCGGCCCGCTCAGCCTCAGGGCGCTGCGGTGAAATCAGCCCATCGGAATGCGGAACCGGTGGGAAATGCAGCTGGTAAAGGAAGCGGAGCCGCGATCTGGCGGGTCCAATCTGATCCGGGTTCCCACAATCAGACAAAGCCGCGATTGTTCCGGTCCAGTCCGGGGAACAGAACCCGCTGAACCCGGACCGGAACCCGAACCCGGGCGGGACCAGAAACATGGAGCAAAAGTTTGAAAGTAGAGAAAATGTAAATATTTCCTCACCTTTCTCCGCCTGGATCCCGGTGGAAGCCGCCAGAATAAACCCGCAGATTAGTGCGCAAACTGCGGCTGGAGCCATGCTGAGTGCGGGAGGAGAGCTGCTCGCTGTCGGCCACGCAATTCCCAAAAGTTCATCTGATTGGGATCCGCGCTGGTTTCAGATGGAAAAGCGAGCATCAGAGTGAGTCATGCGGAGGAGTCTGCGCCGTGTTTTAATAGTGCGCACACACCCACGCTGCGCAGTTCAGCGCCTATGAGTCATTTCCGATGGAGCTGCGGCGCAGCGCGGCTCTCAGGAAACTCGGTTCATCTCTCACTTTTTTCACTTTCATTTTTCAAACGAAACTTTCAAACAAATCTGCAGGTATCGCGGTTTCCGTTACATCGGTAACATTTCGCAGGCCACGCCCTGCGTGTTTTCCCACTGAACACCGTGGAGTCCAGATTTACAGCCTCGTTGTTATTACCACGCCTGCAGACGTCATGCTCCGCGGTGTGCCAAAAAACACAAGACTCTGGCAGGGGCCCGGGGTCCCTTACGCACAGCGAGCCGAGCGCAAACACATGACATTAATTAGCAGGTTAAATCATCCCGCTGCGCAGGAGGACGCAGAAAGTTTACCAGAAGGTAAAACTCATCGGGAAACGCAGGACATGTTTCTGCTTGGACACGGAGCGTCGCTGACGCAGGGTGGTGTTATTAATGTCTGGGGCTGGGTGTAGCCTCTGCGCTGCACAAATATGCAAAAACAAAGCCAGAGACTCCAAATCAGCCTCACTGCTGTCTGAGAAGAACTGAAGAACAGAAGAACTGAAGAACTGAAGAACAGAAGAACTGAAGAACTGAAGAGAAGAAGAACTGAAGAGAAAAAGAACTGAAGAGAAGAACTGAAGAACAGAAGAACTGAAGAGCAGAAGAACTGAAGAGAAGAAGAACTGTAGAGGAAAAGAACTGAAGAGCAGAAGAACTGAAGAGGAAAAGAACTGAAGAGGAGAACTGTGGCGTTTTCTGCTCAAGCAGCAGAAAAAAATAAAACCAGTCCAGCAAAAACGTTTCTCCTCTCACAACCTTCAGTTTGTTTCATAGAGCAAAACTGAAGCAGAACTTCAAGCCTGTTATTTAATTTCTAATTATTTTTCTATTTAGACAAAAACATCTGAAAAGTGTGGCATGCTAATGTATTTTGGCTATGTTCTAAATACTTTATCTTCCCATCTTGTTCTAATGTTACTCCATCATCAAACACAAACCTGAAGTTTTGCTTTTATTCTTTCATGCGGATTTGAGAAATCCTTTAATCTCCATGGCAACCATTTAGCTGTTAAAACGCCTGGGTGGGCCTAGCCCCGCCTCCGAGACGCAGCTCCTCCTCAGAGCTGCAGCTTCCAAACTGGAGTTGATAGTTGTGCTGAAGTTGTTCTGAATTGACCCAAAACCTGCAGAAAAACAGAATCACAGCCTGAAACTTCAGTTCATCACCGCAAACCTCAATCTGATATCCAGTGACAAAAACATTGAAAAGTTCATCAATTAAAGGGCCGGTATCATGTCAAATGTACTTTTTTGATGTTTCCATCAGTTTATAATATTTTTCCCTGTTGCCTTCACTTTTTCATGCATGTTAGAGAAATCATTCAATTTCCATGGCAACCATTCAGCTGAGCAAAACACCTGGGTGGACCTAGCCCCGGCTTCAAAGAGCAGCTCCTTCAGACTAGCCAGCAGCAATTAGCAAACAGCAGGGGGGACTGCTGAGCTCATTGTAGGAGCTGCTGCTCAGAGCAGGAAAAAGTTTTAATTGATAAAAACGACGAGGAAGCAGGAAGTAGGTCAGCTATGCTAGCATGACTGTGACAAACTTAACATGTAGATGTGATGTGGAATTTGATGCGTTTCAGTTCCGTTAGTTTTGCTGAGGCGCAAAATGAACAATACTCACAGGTTTCATTTTAAAGGGATTGTTCCACTGCAGCATGGCAGGAGAAGTATCGTCATTTTGCCCTCCATTGTTGTGCACATGTGTAAAATTGCCTATGATATATAAACAACAGCATAGAGAGAGTGCAATTCTAAAATTTGATGTCATCATTCACAAATTCTCCTTCTGTTCTCTGATTGGCTGGTAGTATTTTTCCAGAGGGAATCCAAGTGAAAGGGAGAAATCCCAGACTGAGCTGTGAAGGGAGATTTGAATTGAGTGTTGAAGTTCAGTTCAAAGGCTTTAAAATGAACAACACTGTTGAAAACAGAGAAACGTTTTTCCTTCTGATCCATCAAGTTCAACTTCATTATTTGGATCCAATCAAACGGACTGAAGGTGAAAACCCTGGAGGGGTGTGAATACTTCCCAGCAGGACAACCTGCTGTTATTTTCTCACTCCGCTCTTCCTCCTGTTCTTGAGGAAAACTCTCTATTCCCAAATGCCTGATAAACTTTTTTATTTTTCTTCTCCTTTCCCCACATTCGCTCATCTCCTCCGCAGCCTGGAACCTCTTATGAGGCCTGCATGGTGTGAACTGCCTTTCCCACAAGAACTAACGTCAAACAGACGCTCCACCAAACCCCCAGTAAATACTTCACATCATCAGAAAGCGGAGGGAACGTTTCATTGGCGCAATTAAGCTGCAGGCAGATGTTTTTGTACTCCGTTGTCACGACTAACCTTTAGGAAAGCTCTCTAGGAGGACCTGGAGCCCACGAAGGACGACTTTCCACTCAAGTGATTTCATCAGTAATGAGGCACTATAAGCTGCAGATGTTGTGTCAAACTCTCCGGCAGGCGCCATGGCAACGGGGTGAACACACACAGCGGCGCTTGCCCAAGGTGATCCAAACACTCCTGTATGCGCTGAGCGCGCGCCAGGCGGGCTGATGTCTCTCAGGCGTCGTCAATGCAAAGACGCAACACGAAGCCGGCAGTTTGGACTTTCTGCTGGAAACACGTTCAGGTTTCAGCTCTGCTGGCTCCCAGGAACAACTTTAGTCTTCGGCTCCACCGATCACAAGGTTGCGCAATTTGAAAATAAATGAGCTGAAGTAAAAAGTATTTGCGCTGCAAAGAGGAGCATTTATTCATAAGCTTAAATCAGTTTAAACTGCATCAAAAACCGGATGTTACTACAGGCTGAAAAGGCAGGAAGAGGTTAAAATGGGCCAATTAAAAATACAGAAAAAAAATCAATGAAAAAGTTTTGTGTTTTATCAGCTGAAGAAACTGGTTCATTTCAAAACTAATGCAAACAAGAGGACAGGAAGTGGGAGGAGGAGGACGCAGTTTGCTGCCTTCAATGCGCAAAAAAGTTGAAAATAAAAAAATAAATTTGCTTAATGAAAATATGCAAATTTAGAACAAAAAATGTCAAAATGTTGTTGGATGAGTTTGCTTGGACAAATTTGCTAAATTGTAAAAAGCCAATTTTGAAAAAACTAAAATATTTCAATATCAATTTTTGCGCTTGAATGAGGTTATGCTTTTGGCTGCAGAAATCAGTTTATTTTGCTAAAAATGCCATAGAAGCATTTTCACATCACATGTGTCACATGATCCAACAACCGGATGTTGCTACTGGGGGAAACGACAAAGACAACGACAGGAAGTGACCCGATGATGATAGTGCAGCATGTTTCTTACGCGCAAATTGAAAGTATGAAGGTAAATTTGTCAAATGGGAACATGCCAATGTTTTTCAAACACCAGTTTTTCTATAAAAGAGTGTTTTTTGCAGCTTGCGCTGCAGGATGAGGGGGTTTTTCAGCCGTCAAAACAAATTCATTTGGAAACATTTTTTTATGCAATAACTAGTTCTAGTAAAATAAAAGCTCAACATGTGAGAACGTTGCTTCCCTCTCAGGTGTGTGTTTATTAAACCAGCTCACAACACACTCAGGCAGATAAACAACCATGTTTGGTCACCAAATGGAAAACAATCTGGGAAAACGAGTCTTTTCCAAAGATTAAAAATGTCTGAGTAAATCTGCAGCCCTCTTGCTCCCCCCTCTGGTCTCTTCTCTCCTTTGGTTCAGTCTCTGTCTGTCTGTCTCTCTGTCTGTCTGTCTCTCAGCCCCTCAGGTGATGTAGATGCGGTGGAAGTCGTTGGCTCCGAAGGCGCAGTTGCACTTGGGGCATTTCCTCTGCCGGGTGTCGTAGCGCATCTTCAGACACTCGTAGCAGAAGACGTGGAAACACTTGGTGAGGACGGTCTCCTTGTCCCGCGTGTTGCAGCAGGGGCAGCGCAGCTTGGCCTGAGCGGGGAGTTCAAACCGTCAACAGTACGGAGATACATTGGGGCCAAAAAAAATATTTGAATCTGAAAAGTCACTTTGAACTTGTTTTTTTTTTTTTTTAAATATTCTTTTCAGCTTCAAAACATTTTTTAAGAATCAAATAATTTTTTTCAAATTTTATTTTTTTTATAACTTCATGCCTACAATTTAGCTCCATAAAACTGAAATGAAACTTTTTTTTATCTTAAAACTGAAAAATCTCTTTTTCTCTGTTTTTAAATTGTTTTAGGTTTTTTTTAAAAAAAGGTTTTATTTTCAGTTTCAAAACTTTTTTCTTGTTTCAAAATAATTATTCTCTTTTGAATCTTTTTTTAAAATTAAAAACGTTACGCCCTCAACTTGGCTCCATATATTTAAAACTAAACTTTATTTTAGTCTCGTCTTTTTTTCTTTACAGTTTAAAAAAACGTATAAACTTTATGAAGCCAATTTAACTCCAAGGAGCTGAAATGAAATGTTTCTTTTTCATTTTAAAAATAGATTTTCAGTTTCAAATTTGTTTTAGAGAAAATTTTCTGGCCCAAATGTATTTCTAAATGAAGCAGCTACAAAAATCACAAAGTTTATGAAATGGAGAAGAAAAATACCAAAGCTTATCAATTTTACAGATACAAATCTGAAAAGTGTGGCAGGTGCTTATATTCAGCCACCTTTTAACATATATACATGCCACACATTTCAGATTTTAATTTGTGTCAAACTGAAAACCGCATTTCGTTTTTCTCCAGTTTCTGGTGTCAAAGTGGATCATTTCTCCTGACCTTGTACTGGTTGATCTCCTCCTGCAGGATCTCGTCTGCGTCAGAGTAAACCTCCACCTTCTTCTGCTTCTCCAGCTTCCTCCTCAGCCGGGACAGATCCTCCTGCAGAACCGGCACAAAGTTCAGATTGTAAATAAAACTAAAAACTATTCCATCATGAAAACCCGTTCAGATTTGACATGGTTTTAGTAAAACACAGGTTATGATCTTTGGACCTCAAGGATCTAAAGTCAGAACATCTTCAGTTATTCCAGCTGGAATCTGGAGAAGCTGAACATTCAGAGCCACATAAAGACACTTACAAAGACGGGATTCCAGGATTAAAGCTTTACTATCTCAGCTCTAGAGAAACTCATGCAGACGTTCCTTTAAATC